TTTTAATCTAAAGTTTTTGAAACAATCTTTATTATTGGCAAGCATTCAATTCATATTTAACCCAAGCTTATTATTGTGGTCTTGTACCAGACTAAGCCAGTTTAACATGAAACTATCAGAGCACCTTGCTGTGAGGATAGAGTTGAGCAGACTGGTCAATTGTATTATTGACCCAAGTACTTGATACTTGTAGCGTTGTCAAACTAATCTAAACAGTATGTACTAATAAGCACTTTGCTATAGAGTAATAGAAAGCTGGCTTTAGTATTGAGTAATAACTTTGTTCCTCATTGGGCGCCACATATTTGCAGTCTTTTACCAAAAATTAAGTCTAGTAAATAACAAGAAAATTTGATTGCGATACTTCACTATCGCACAATGGTTAACAAGTTGGTCTTATAGTTCTGTAGCATAAATAAGCTGGTGTTCCCCTGACGTCGCTCGTACAACACTAAATATTTCTTTTTCAATCAGTTGTTCTTTATTTCCTGCACACATCACCAACGTAAAAATTGCTCTGCTTTGCACTGCTTCAGCCCTCTTATCATACCAACACCATGACTGACCAATTAGCTTTCTTTGCTTTGTACTCAGTTACCCAATCAAATAGCATCCTCCAGTCCAGACCAATCAGCACACGACTTCCTATTGGTCGAACTATGCTAAGTTAACCACAAAAGCCGTCGTTACAGAATATACACTTTTGGAATAATCTAAAGAGTGTGTGTGTGTGTGGGGGGGGAAGAGATTCATGCCATCACGGAGCAAAATGCTGCTGCTATGTGTCATGTATTGAGGTAAGGAACTTATTTCCCTTTGCACCAGATGCAAGCCACTCTGACTCACTTGCTTCTACATAATTGTTCACTACAAGCTCATTACTACCAAGTTTGTTTATCAGTGGATGCACCATACTTGTAGCCTTGTGTCAGACTAAGCAAATTAAATCTTTTCAGACACCTTGCCAAAAAAAATGAAGTGAATGTCAATATAGTAAATAAGGCACTGTATATGATTTAGAATATTAATTAGAAATGATTTAAAGAGAAAAGCTGCAAACCCCAGAAGATGCCGACTTCAGAGCAGGAAAAAATATGAATCTTTTTTTAAAATATGAGGTCAATTAAGAAAATACATAAATTTAAAAAAAAAAAAAAAAAAAAAAAGATATATTTGAAAGCTGCAGATATCAGGGAATACTCTCTTGAGAAAAAAAAAATCTTAGAAATAGTAAAGAGGAGTGAGTAAGTATTTATCAGTGTCTGATGCCAAAAGAGATGCTTATAACTCAGACTTTCTTAAATTTCAGGTTAAGATCATGGAATGTTCAGATGGCTTTAAGCATCTCCAAGAAACACAGATTGAATGCCTGGGGATAAACACAATCACTGTCGATGCCAAAAATCAACTCATCGTCACAGCAAACAGATACATTGATGACAGTGAATTTGGTGGTAAATCTATCAAGACAGACACAAACATAACGGTTTTTGATTCTCAGACTGGTGCTGTCCGAAAACGCCTCACCCACCAAATGTACAAAGCTAAAAACATTGACATCCTTCAACAACCTGATTACCTTCTGAGCAGTACAAACGGGGATCTTTTGCTCGCAGATTCTGGATCCCAGAGTGTCACGAAGCTAACATCCGAAGGCAGGGTAATATTTAACTGCAAAGTGTCCGAGGGTCCGAATATTTTGTGCATCGAAAAAGGAGGAAATATTTTGGTTGGGGATAGACACGAGAAAAAGATTACTGTGCTAACCAAAAACGGACAAGCAAAATCATTTTTATTAACTGAGATGCCAAAATTCTTTGTGATTGGTAAAGATAACAACCTTCTAGTTTTGGATTCTCTGGGAACAATTAAGCATTTTGAATATCGTCAAATATTTAAGTCTTGAGTATCAATCTACAGTTATTTGATTGATCAACTCATTTTCTATGGCTTATCAACCCTTTTGAAGGTTATTTAAAGCCAGAAAAGTCTTACTAATTAGCCCATAGCTAGGGGAGAGAAGAGAGATTCATACCTCATCAAAATTTGATAAACAAATCACAAATTCAGTATCTGTCTATATTTCTGAGATGAGGTATTATGTACACTATTTACTTTATTCGGACTATTGTCCTCATCTTTTTTGCTATATTTATCACGTTGTTTCGGCTGTTGTTTGCTCTGGCCTTCTTCAGGCGGTTGGAATATCGTTTGCTGGGGTAGACTGTTCTAGTTCCACGTGCCATGTCTAATGGATGCCAGTTATCAGTTATCTTCTGTTAATTCACCCCTCCAAGTTCTCCACTGCCCTAACCACCTGAAGAAAGCCAGAGGGTACAACGGCTGAAACCTCGTGATAAATATGGCAACAAAGATGAGGACAATAGTCCAAATAATGTAAATAGTGTAAATCAGAAATTAAGTGTATATAAAGTAGGGGATCAACTCCATATTAGAATCACTATATGGAGACAGTTGTCTCTATATATTTATATTCCAGAGAACCTAAATAAGTCAAAAAGACGTGCAGATTTTTTAAGGTACAATAAGAGATTAACGATAATAACTAATAAAATAGAACAATGATAACAATAGACTGGAATAAAAGTTATGTGACGTTTTCATCAGCAATCTTAGCAACATCAGTATGTGATTTCATTTCTTATTAAGTTGATGATTTTCAATTTTTCACTGGTATATAAGAGTTCTCAACACCCTGACCTTTGTGTTTTGGGCATTCATTATTAATTGTTTATTTTGGGGGGTTAATTTGGATAACTAAAATTGCAGTAAACAAAAAAAAGTAGAGGGCATGTTTTTACAACTAAAAGGCAAGTGCCTATTATATAAGCAAAGGAAAAAAAAAAACAAAAGAAAAATAACTTTCAGAGGAAGTCAAGAGAATCCTGCACTCTCTCGTGTAAAAAAAAGATTCATGACTTTGATCCTGTAGACACCTGAGCCAACTGCACAAGTTAGTACTCTTTTTATACAGGCTGAACTCTGATAAAGACATTGACAATCTTTAGATGCCAAATTTGCCATATCATTTTATGTAGGAATCTCAACTACTTTGTTGAAAAATAAAAAAAAAACAAAAAAACAAACTGCATAGCATGATGAAAAAGGCTCTAAATTGAATAAAAACGGAATTTTATTGTCTAAATGTTCATGTTATTATTAAGAGGAAAGATAAAACTATTTTTTAGTTTATTTAATTTTTTTCATCCTTTCTTGAAATTGTTTATTTTTTTTTTTTTTTTTTACATCTGAAGAATACATTGATTTGGAAATTCTTGCAAAAATCAAATAATTGTCAGATTTTAATGAAACTTTCAAATTTATTCACAAATGAATGAAACCACAGTGGAACCTCAGTTGTTGAACGGCTCCCTTTTTTTAACAAATCAACTGTTGAATAAATTTTCAAAGCAAAAATTTTCCTGTTTGTCGTACCATAACTATTGCCGAACAAGCCAAAAACAAAACGTGGGCAGCACGTAGCATGATTGATGCCAGTCTTGCCACAGCTTGCAATCAGAGTATACATGCTAAGAACGGTCATCTGATTTTGCTGTTATACCTTATGTTATACATTAATTCTTCTACCCACCCCCATAAGCCACCATGGGACGTAAGAAAGTTAGCGAAAGTGAAAAAAAAAAATAGTGAGAACAGCAATAGAAGTGTAGAAAGAGATTATATGGAAACATGAGAATGGTGTTCGTGTTTCTGACCTGGCTTTACAATATGGCTTAGCAAAGTCATCGATTTGTACGATCCTTAAGAGAAAAGAAACAATAAAAGAAGCTAAGGTTGCCAAAGAAGTGATTGTGATCCCCAAGCAAAGATCTCAGACATTAGAAGAAGTGGAAACATTGTTACTGATTTGGATCAACAAAAAACAGTTGGCTAATGACAATAATTTGTGGGAAAGCAAAACATTTGTATCAGGATTTGCTCAAGAAAACCCCAGGTACAAGTTCTGAGAATGATGCATTTAAGGCAAGTCGAGGCTGGTTTGAAAAGTTTAAGAAGCAAAGTGGCACACAGTGTGGTTCGTCATGGAGAGGCCGCAAGTGCTAACAAAAAAGATGCAGATGATTTGGTGAAAGAGTTTGGTGCGTATGTGAATGTTGAGGGTTTTATCCTCCAGTAAGTGTTTAATTGTGATGAAACTGGACTGTTTTGGAAGAAAATGCCTAAAAGCGTATACAGAACCAAAGAGGAAAAGGCTTTACCTTGACACAAGCTTATGAAGGACAGGCTAACTCTGTTGCTTTGTGGCAATGCTGGCGGTGATTTTCAGGTGAAGCCAATGCTTGTGTATCATTCAGAGAACCCTCATGTGTTCAAGAAAAACCGTATGAAAAAGCAAGTTGCCCATCATGTGGAGGGTTAACAGTATGGCCTGGGTGGCCAGACAGTTTTTCTTGGAATGGATCCATGGAGTTTTTGCTCCTAGTGTGAGGGATTACCTTAATAAAAATAACTTATCAGTGAAGTGCCTGCTATTGGTGGACAATGCTCCTGTCCACCCCCAGACATGGCGCCTGAGTTACTGGAAGTGTTAGGCTTCATTATTGTGAAGTTTCTGCCTCTTAATACAATTCCACTGATTCGGTCAATGGGCCAACAGGTCATTTCTAACTTTAAGTTATACACTAAAGCACTTTTTCAAAGGTGCTTTGAAGTTACTTCTGACGTGGAATTAACTTGCCGTGACTTTTGGAAGAGCCACTTCAACATCCTGCATTGCTTAAATCTTATTGACAATGCCTGGCAGCAACCGACTTGCAGGACCTTGAACTCATCCTGGAAGAAACTCTGGCTTCATTGTGTTGCAGAGGGGGATTTCAAGGGATTTGAGACACAGTCTACTCAAGTTGTAGATGACATTGTGTCTCTGGGCAAAAGCATGGGCCTGGAAGTCAACAGTGATGACGCCAAAGAGCTGGTGGAGGAACACTGAACCAAGTTGTCTACTGATGAACTCAAACTCCTCCAAAAGCAGCAGAAGGAGATGCTTGAGGAGATATCTTCAAAGGAAGAGAAGGCGGGGATATGCCTAGTGCACTAAAGAAATATGCACAAAATTGGAGTGGGTGTGAAACATCTTTTTGAAATGCATCTCACCCTGATAAGGCAGTAGGAAGCCATGTCAGTAACCTTTTCAATGACACTCCTATCTCACTTCCATAACATTGTGAGACAGAGGCAAAAGCAAGTTTCAATAGAAAGGTTTTCGGTGAAAAAGAAGCCTAGTGGGTCCCAGGAAAAATCTGCTAGCAAGAAACAGAAAATCCAGGAAATCGGGGACTACCCTTCCAAACAATAACATCTTTTTCCTCTCACCTCCTCTCCACCTGTGCTTCCAAGACTCCTCCGCACAGGTAAGGATAAATAAAATTGCCTTTCTTATTTATATGTAGCTTTAGTCTTTATTCAGTTGTTTATCTCTTAGATCAAATGACTTTCATTGGTTTTGTGTATGAACTTGTACACGAAATACTGTTTTAAAAGTTTGAATAAGGGCCCAGAAATGGATCAATCCAGTTCACATCGATTCCTATGAGAAAACCATTTCAGTTTTCAAACTTTTCGGTTCAGGAATGAATTAAATTCAAAAACTGAGGTTCCACTGTATTAATTTTGATTTTTTTTTTTTTTTTTTTTAACATGTTACCTCCTAGTTATTTAATTTCATGAAATTGAGAAATTAAATTTCAATCTCAAAATTTGTTTAATTGTTAAAAGCAGAACGACTTGGAGAATTTAAATCATTAGGGTTTTTTTTTTTTTTTTTTTGTGAAACAGGTCATCCAGTTACCAAAAATCTGCTCTGAATCGTAAAATAAAACATGCAATAAAACTATGAAATTATTTAGTTAGAAAAACTTTCATAAATAAGATTTATTAAGGACACTATTGTCTTAAAAAAAATTGTTTTTTGATGAATGAGTTTTTACAAGAATTCTGCATAACTTCAATCTGGTTAGATGATATTGTAATTAAATGAAAACTATAATTACAAATCAATAATTAAAAAGCTTAATAAGAGTTGTTTACAACCAATAGTTTTAAATTTTTTTTATGTATATAAAATATTATGTCCCCCTCTTTGAAAATATGGTCAACCATACAGAACAAAATCAGAAAATAAGGGTGATGACTATAGTAAATTTATATTCAACATTCCTAAAATTAGATTTTATTTTTGGAAGATTTTTAAAACCAAGGATTAAATTTTGTGCTAAAAATAGCAGATTTTAAATGATTTTCTGAAAGCAACTAAAAAGTTGGGATTCCAATCAATATAATTCCTATGTGAAATACACCAGAATATTTTGCTTACTGGAAATGGTAAATTTAACCATTTAGCTTTCAATTAAAGTTAAAATGAAAGCTCCAATAATGCTTTTTCATTTATAAAAATTCATTTTAAACCTTAGGTATTGAAATTGAGTGGAGGCATCTAATTTCATGTACTTCTAAGAATAAATGTATTAAACGTGATATCCATCATTATTTCTGCCTTTTGTTTTAAAAAAAAAAAAAAAAAAAAAAAAAAGAAAAGTAAAATGAAAGGGACTGAATAAATACTCACTGGGCTTTTGGTATCCCCCACATCATCTGGAGAAAAGTAACAGTATTCCTCTTTAACAAGGTGATCGTTAATATGGATGTCAACATTAGTTTCCGACGTATCAATCAAACAGAGGGACATGACACGATCCTGAATGAAAAAAAAAAAAAATTAATCTTCTATATATGTTTACATTGCATATAGAATAAGCATTCATATATGCGCATATAAAGAAAAGACAAAAACAGTGAATAACATCAACACGGTTACAATGTGCTGACCATGTTTAGGTAAATAAAAAAACATTCCTATAACTCTAGATAAAAATAAGAATTGCCCTTGATAATAGCTAAAAGAGCCGAAAGCACTCGGGTCAATTTTTCCACATTTTATGTCCCAAAAAGAAAGCACTTATATAAGCATAAAAAAATTAAATAAGAAACTTAATCGCAGTAAGTTGTCAGTTGTCTTGAACAAAACTTAGGTTTGGAAGTCTGATGATCCGCAGTACTTTAAAAGGGCTGTGGTGATATGATTTATTACATGGAACCTTAAAGTGGTCTGTTTTTATTTAAAATATATATATATATATTAATTTGATGAGAAAAACAGATAAAACAAAAGGTTGCATATTAATGAAATTGATTTGTTAAACTGTGTGTATAAAAAAGAAAAGGATTCGCTTGCCAGATTAAATAAACATTTAGGCATAAAGGATGTTAACATAAGTGTGTTTGAAAAATAAAAATATTCCCATCATTCTATAAAATCTGCACATTCAATTAAAAATAAAACAAATATACAAAACATTTGGACAATTCTTTATACATTTTATGTCCAGAAAAGAAAACACTTATATGAACGCAAGAAAAATTAAATAAAAAACTTAATTGCAGTACCTTGTCAGTCGTCTTTAATGAAACATGTTTAAAAGAGGGGTTGCTGGGAAAATATGCAATTATATATACACACACAAAGGGTACAGCAGAAATACTCCCCATAAGTCTTTCACTAGAAGAAAATACCCTTCCATTATGTGGGGGCTATATATTATTTTACCTGTACCCTATAAAGAAAGGAGTTTTAATTTGTGCCCAATGATTGCTGTATGCATGAAATTTTGATAAGCATAGAGCAGTGAGGAAGAAATACACAATTAAAGATTAAGAAACATAATGCAAAAAATTTTGAATAAATACTTATGCCAAAAATCAAGGAAATATAAATCCTAAAATGAAAATAAAGAAAAATTACGTAACTGTAGAAATCCTAAAAATTGTCCTCTGAATAATAAATATCTTGTAGAATCCACAGTTTATCAATGCAATATCTCATCTATTGAGAATCCAAATGATATCAGATTCTATATAGGATGTACAAAAAGTGATTTTAAAAAAAGATTTAATCAACATCAAACTTCCTTCAATAATAATGAATATTGCAACCAAACATCCATATCTAAATATTTTTGGCATTTAAAAGCAAACAATGAAACGCCAACAGTAAAATGAAAATTAATAAAAAAACAAAAACAAAACAAAAATACTTGTAGATCTTTAAATGACCCATGTCCTTTGTGCATGAAAAGTTATATATTATTAAATTTCTGAAAGAAATGAAATAGCTGTATTTTGCAGACATGGTCAAATATTTTTCTTAAATAATAATTTATAGATAAGAAACTTGTATATTTATAATTGATCATAAATAAAATAATTTTATAAATACAAAATTCTAATATATAAATTTTCCACTTCCACATATAATCTATTAGTTAATATAAAATGACGTAAATACTTTATATTTGTCGGAATAAAAATAGGACTATCATAATTAATTGACCCTTTAAGAAAATCTTGATATTTATAAAAATAAATAAAACAAATAAATTAAATAAAAAAAATAAAAATGCCAAATATATTGACCCTTGAACGCAGACGATGTTTAAAAATAAGACAGTAACTTAAATAACTGCTAAAAAAAAAAAAAAAAAAAAAAAAAAAAAAAAAAAAAAAAAAGGGAGAGAGAGAATGTCAAGGAAGAGACACCCCATATCCCACCTAAATTTGACTGAATTTACAATCATCATACATAATACAAGAGTTAGCGTGTAACCTGATCATCTCTAAATATTAAAAATTAAACTGTCTTTAATCCACCAATAAAATATTAAGATTGTCTATGCTAATATCAAGTAAATCAATTTCTTAGATTGTAGATTTAATTTTTAAAATTAATCTAGATTTGAAATTTTTCATTTTGAAGCGTAGGATGTTCTGTCTTGTGATGGAATCATATTTAAAAAAAAAAAAAAAAAAAAAAAAAAAATAATTATATGGGTTTGAAGTCATCGGTGTAAATTAATCCTTTTGTATCCAAAATATTGCAAAGTAAATGACAGTGACATTTGCAGAATTGGTATTTTCTCAGATTGAAACTCAACAATTTGATGGGGATGAAAAAAAAAAAAAAAAAAAAAATTCTATAACAAACTTCTTCACCAGATTACAAAATATTGAGTAAAACCACATTTATTTTTTTTTTTTTTTAATATATTGCCATGACAGAATATTCACAATGGCATTTATAATCCCCCCCTCCAAAAAAAAAAAAAAAAAAAAAAAAAATAATTCCCATTTCACACTGACCTTTACTTTTGTTACTAGAGCCACCAAAGGTCTATTGGAACATAATTTCAGCATTCGGTTCCGGGCATTGATGGTCCATCTCTGAAAAATGATGAGATTCACATTGAATTTCCCAGTAGAAGTCAGTTACCAAAAATTTGACCATTTCCAATGATAAATCATAAGTTAGCAATTAAAAAAAGAAAGACATTGAAATAAATTTTACTTACATCTCCAATAGGTTTGACATTGGCCAATCTGGCTTGAATTGCTTGCATTGGTAGATTTAAGAAACTTCTCCTTCAGATTGTTTTAAAAAAAAAAAAAAAAAAATTTGGAAGTTAGTAATTTCCTTAAGTTATTCTAATTTCATACATGAAGCAGTCATTAATTTGGGTGATGATTTTTCAATTTATTTTTGTTGCTTTTTATTACAGATTAATTTAGGTTTGATGACTTAATTTGACTGTTTAGTTTTTTTATGGCTTTTCAACATGGACCGTCAAATAAGATGCATACAACAATATTTCACCTCTGCAATTCTTTGAAGACCTTTTTGCATCTTAAATGAAACCAACTTTCAGAGCCAACTTTATAAGATACTGCTTATATTTTGGGGGCTAATGAGGTAAATGAAGTTCAAAACTAAATCTTTCAAAGTTATTTGCTTTAGATTGGAAAGAAAAGAGAAAAGAGAGAGAAAAGAAAGAGAAGAAAAGAGAAAAGAAAAGAGAAAAGAAAAGAGAAAAGAAAAGAGAAAAGAAAAGAGAAAAGAAAAGAGAAAAGAAAAGAGAAAAGAAAAGAGAAAAGAAAAGAGAAAAGAAAGAGAAAAGAAAGAGAAAAGAAAGAGAAAAGAAAGAGAAAAGAAAGAGAAAAGAAAGAGAAAAGAAAGAGAAAAGAAAGAGAAAAGAAAGAAAAGAAAGAGAAAAGAAAGAGAAAAGAAAGAGAAAAGAAAGAGAAAAGAAAGAGAAAAGAAAGAGAAAAGAAAGAGAAAAGAAAGAGAAAAGAAAGAGAAAAGAAAGAGAAAAGAAAGAGAAAAGAAAGAGAAAAAAGAGAGAAAAGAAAAAAGAGAGAAAAGAAAAAAGAGAGAAAAGAAAAAAGAGAGAAAAGAAAAAAGAGAAAAAAGAAAAAAGAGAAAAAAGAGAAAAAAGAAAAAAAAGAAAGAGAAAAGAAAAAAAGAAAGAGAAAAGAAAAAAAAGAAAGAGAAAAGAAAAAAAGAAAGAAAAGAAAAAAAGAAAGAGAAAAGAAAAAAAGAAAGAGAAAAGAAAAAAAAGAAAGAGAAAAGAAAAAAAAGAAAGAGAAAAGAAAAAAAAGAAAGAGAAAAGAAAAAAAAGAAAAAGAAAAGAAAAAAAAGAAAGAGAAAAGAAAAGAAAAAAAAAGAAAGAGAAAAGAAAAAAAAAACAAAGTGCTCAGACAGTGTGTGGCCACAGCCCATTTGAACAATAATATACACCTCAACCCCGCATTGTACCTGAAATCTCTCTTGTTTTCATTTTACAGTTGTCGCCCATTCACACAACAATAATTATGGATATTCATTTGACATTTAATATAAGCACCAAGAAAACCCAATCAAATTGTGTTTTGGTATGTAAGGGGGCGACAACCCCAAAAAGTTTGAGAACCACTGTTTTAAAGCCCTGTAACCAGATATTTTTCAGATTTTGGAAAGACAAGACAAATATTGTATATAGAATAGACAATTAAATCGCCAGGGAGTAAAATTAAGATTGTCCATAATATTCCATTTTATTTGTCCAATGGTAAATGAAATCAGATAAGCATAGACCAAAAGGAGATTAATTAAAACACTTTATTTGTAGTTGTCAATGTGATAAAGAAACCATTATTAATAAAAATAAAGTTCCAATAGTTTTTGTTAAGAGATGTGGATCTCTGCTGAAGTCATTGAAAATATTCTGTTCAGAAATTTTTAATACAAATGAGTTAATAATTTAAAGCAATTAATAGCTAAATATAAAAATAAGATGTGATTGGCAGGTATCCAAAAATAGCCAAAATGATTAAGAAAAAAAGAAAAAAAAGAAAGTTTTATGATGTTTCAAAATTTGAACTCCTTTACTTCAATGTTCTCTTTTGTCAATGAACTTTTTCAGGTGTAACTCCATGTATGCACTAGCAGGAAACATTTCTTGAACTCTTCTGTAAAAATTTTGTCTAAGGTCTAAAGTGTTTTATTTTATTTTGCACAAGCCAGTGGTTCATAAACATTTTTTTTCTCTGGGCTACATTTTTTTTGATCACCAAATTTTAAGTACATTTAAAAATGAAAAAAAAAAAAAAAAAAAAAAAAAAAAGAGGATTAAAGGGAAATAACCACGTATTTAAAGTTAGAACATTATCAATGATAACTCTCTCCTCCAATTTGCAGACCCTAGTTGCTATAATGCAAAAATATACTGGATTACAAGTAATCCATAATATTTTACCTTTTGAAATCCTATTTATTTCTAGCATATGCATTTTTTGAAACTGTTTCTAAATGCTTGCTGCACTGTTTGGGAACCACTGGCCTAAATAAATAGTTTCCCATTTTATTTTAAACAATTATGATAATGGTTGCTGGCATGAAGTTTGAGACAAAACAGCCACTTCAAATATTTTATCAATTGTCTGATTATAATTTGAGTTGATTGCATGGCAAACTTTGAAGTTTCTGTAGATGTGCATTCTAGGAATAATATTAGAGATTATAATGTTCTTCGGAACTGTAGTTTATACTCCTGGATCAGAATACAAGAAAATCAACAGATTACAAGATTGATGGAAAGGTACCCACCATATACTGGTAAAGGAGGGGGGAGAGAGAGTGAGAGGAAAGAAAAAAAGAAGGGGTTACTGAGTGTGAAAGAATAAGAAAAACAGAGAACAATAAAAGAAGAGGGTTGGAGAAGACAGTAGATATCAATTGACATTTCATTTTAATTTTTGAAGACCAAATTTGGCAGGAAATGATTAAAATAAATAAAATATAAAATTGGTAAAATGCTATTAATGGCAGACAGGCACCCAAAGAGATGGATCACAAATTTTGTCAAAAACATATTTCCAAATTTATTACTTAATGGTTTGGAATATGGGGAAGGGGCATTTTACTTACTTAAGTAGACGAAGACTCTTTCGGGCCACAATGCAGGTGTTGCCATAGTCAACAAAATAAACCTAAAAGAAAAAAAAAAAAGTGATTTATTTAAAAATGGAGGTTTGCATGAAAGATTTTCTCAATTAAAAAAAAAAAAAAAAAAAAAAAAAAAAAAAAAAAAATGTGGCAGGGACAGAGATGGAGAGAACAAGAGGGACAGAGATGGAGAGAACAAGAGGGACAGAGATGGAGAGAACAAGAGGGACAGAGATGGAGAGAACAAGAGGGACAGAGATGGAGAGAACAAGAGGGACAGAGATGGAGAGAACAAGAGGGACAGAGATGGAGAGAACAAGAGGGACAGAGATGGAGAGAACAAGAGGGACAGAGATGGAGAGAACAAGAGGGACAGAGATGGAGAGAACAAGAGGGACAGAGATGGAGAGAACAAGAGGGACAGAGATGGAGAGAACAAGAGGGACAGAGATGGAGAGAACAAGAGGGACAGAGATGGAGAGAACAAGAGGGACAGAGATGGAGAGAACAAGAGGGACAGAGATGGAGAGAACAAGAGGGACAGAGATGGAGAGAACAAGAGGGACAGAGATGGAGAGAACAAGAGGGACAGAGATGGAGAGAACAAGAGGGACAGAGATGGGAGAGGGAAGATGGAGAGAATGGAGGGACAGAGATGGAGAGAGGGACAGAGATGGAGAAACAAGAGGGACAGAGATGGAGAGAACAAGAGGGACAGAGATGGAGAGAAACAAGAGGGACAGAGATGGAGAGAACAAGAGGGACAGAGATGGAGAGAACAAGAGGGACAGAGATGGAGAGAACAAGAGGGACAGAGATGGAGAGAACAAGAGGGACAGAGATGGAGAGAACAAGAGGGATAGAGAGTGTGAAGAAAAATCTCATCAAGAAAGTGACCCCAGGCAGTGATATATAAACTACACATCAAGAGAATGAGAATTGCATAGAAATGAACCTGTATAGAGAATTGGTGTCATAGCCAAACAGTGAAAGAAATAGAAACTTGGGGAGAGATGTACACAGAGAAAGCTGGAGGGAGATGTGCATGGTGACAAAGTAAGAAGGAGAGATACGCATAAAGAGACATGAACACTGTCACAAATCACCTCAACATAGGATAAGTTTGGTACACTGGTGATTAAGATTCGGTGCCAATTTTGGTCCTCTGGGTAGATAGCCACACCTACAAGACCAACACGGATGAAGTCATCTGGAACTTGGTAAGCATTTGCCTCAGATGAACAGTATGATGTCCTGGAGAAGAAAAACAAAAGTACTCGCTTATTAATCTGTAACAAGAAAAAAAAATTTTAATGCTGAATTTTGCACCATTAAGGTAAATATATTCCAAGTAATTATCGCCAGATTGTACAAAAGCCAGTAGCGTCTTGTACCAAGAATATACTTGGTTTAAATGTAGGGATATAAAGAGCATCCTTTGAAATGCAATCTCATGTATTTCCTTCCATGTCAGTTATACTAACTTGAGCATTGCCTCTTTTTAAAGCAATATTACTCGTTCTACTTCCATCTGCCAGTTCAATATGATTTTCTGGATTAAATTCATTATTGAAACGAATAAATTTAGATTTGTCAGTAATAACATGAGTTGTAGGTCAGCAATCAACAAGCAAACCGTTTTCGTTAGAAACGGTATATAGTCCAAATAAAAATAGAAATGAATATTCATTCTCTGAAACAAGTTCCACATTTTTACGAAATGAGTTTCTGTGTTTGGTACTTTTATGTCAAACAGAATCAAAAAAGTGTGCAATAACAAGAAAAAGAATAGAAAAGAACAGGGCAAAAAAATAATATAAAGCAAGCAAACAATATATGCAAAGCAAAACAACAGTAATATGGCAAAAAGTTTGCAAACTAAGAATTGGGGTTGATACACAAGAGCAAATTCAGATAGCATCCTGGCTTCAAGACAAGACAGATGGAGTGTCATAAAACAAAACAGACCAGGACCGAGACATATGAAACTGAGAACTGGCCTATTTTATTGGCTAGGAAGAAATCCCAGCATGCATTTGTGTGCTTCTGCCTATAAATTGGGGAGGAGGAAGTGTTTTGCAGTCATTCTCCATCAGATTTCAATTCTGTTGAATAGTAGAATACAATAGCCACTCATTATTTTGAGGGGTAGAGGAGTTCTACTAACATCGGGTTTATTTTAGTTTGTTTTTCTTTCATTCTGTTTTCATCCCCCACCCCCAATCATTTTCATTATAATATAAATTTTTATTAAAAAAACAAACAAAAAAAAACGAAACAACGTATAAATTTTTACATCATGGAATGTTTTGTAGGTCCCTTGTCAATATGTGTTTATTTTGATACATGTAGGATTGATAGGTGACTGACATGTTCATGTAGTAATTGAATATATTGTATTGAATGAATGGATTGTGATTGGGATTAACTAGGACAGTTACTGAGTACTAGCCTTTCCCCCACTTCCTCTTCAGTCGTGTGCCACAATTTTGTATTTAAATATGAAATTGTCATTCCCCATTGGACTGGAACCAACATTGCCCAATAACCGATTGTAAAATACACAACAGGACAGTCTCACCTCAGATATTCATGTTAAATGTAGTCAAAAGAAAGCATAATCAGGTCATGTGAATTTATAGTGATTTTTCAAGTGTAGCTTAGATGTGGCACAAGGCCGAAAGTAGGGGGCACTCAGTGAGGATTGAACTCACTGCTCAGTCGTTATTGTTCTAGTGAGACCAGCTTTCTCTTACACTGCCTCGAGGTACCCCAGGTCATGTGAATTTATATGCTTGAGGAATTTTTTATCTTGAATTTTTCAGAGCAAGTAGAAATAGTCTTTCTGTAGTGCATCTATAATAAAAGCATTGATGGTCCCAATACTAAGAGTTGGGGGAGGATTATCAGCTGGCAGTAATGTATGACTAAAAACCAATGCTCTATGGTAACTTTCCAAATCTAATGATTACAATTGTTGTGAAGAGATCAAGATTCTGTGGACATTGCTGGAGAAGCAAGAATGAAATCATTCATTAAGTTTTATTCTGGTTACCAATGCAAGAGAAACAAAATTTGGTGGCAGACCAGCATGTTCTTTCATTGACCAACTGACCAACAATGCCAACTTATTAAAAAGAGCAACAGAAAGTTTTATTGGAAGACCGTAATGTCTGGGGAAGACTGGTCATATTTGGTCAGGCTGATTAACTGGCCAAGGAGGACTGGACAGTTAATTATTTGAGCAATTGATAGTTTAAGAATAAAGAATGAGGCAGTACCTGTCTGATGTGAATATGAGCAGAAAACTGACAAAGGGAATATAAAAAAAAAAAAAAAAAAAAAAAACACCTCTTATTTAATTATTTTGTTTTTTTTTTTATTGGTTATTCAGTGCTTTTTGTGAATATAGCTAAGTACTGAATTATCAAAAATGAGAGATATCCAAGTTGTATTATTTCAGTGGTCCTCCCTCAAGGATGGTCACTGGTCAAAAGAATACAAATGCAAAGTAGATTATTATTATTATTATATCATAAAAAAAAAAAAAAATAAATAAATAAAAATTAATGGTTTACAAATGGATGCAATTCAAAAGACCTTATTCCGGGTTTTGCAAGCAGATATTATGACAATGTACATATTAGTGATGTAGACTAGTTGACATTCACAATAACGACTTACAGTACTTATAAGAATGTGACCTTGTGTTAAAAAAAATCTAAGTAAATAACATACAAAAAGAACCCCCCCCCTTTAAAAAAAAACAAAAAAAACAAAATAAAAACCCTGAAATACTTACTCAAGATCATCCATCAATTTCTCAAGAGCAATGGAATGTTGCCTTCCTCTAAACTGAATCCAAAAATTCCCAGGTGTCTCAATATTACTCACAAAAACTTCCATGTATTGGCCATTTGTCACAATGTCAAGCAAACGATAAGACACGCCAGGTCCGACAGCATCTTCAGGTAACTGAGCACAAGAGTTAAAAACTTCAGTCTGAGAAAAAAAGAAAAGAAATGGAAATGATTTCAAAACATTAACATGAAGAGACCATGATTGCAAAGACAAAGCTTACAAAGTTATAAAAACTGTATTCAATCATCTCTCATCTGTCCAGGTACATTCACAGAATCATTTGTTAGCAGTTTCCCTTCTCAACTCACTCACTAGTGTTGACTATTGTAAAATAATGATTAGTATATAGAAACTGCCCGTTTGAAACCTCAAGATTTATTCTACTTCCCTGCATTTCCTTATAAACAACAACTATCACATGTACATGCATAAACATCTTTTGTTAACAAATGACGTCACCCATCATGAAATGGACAAAGTCCGACAATTATTTTAAGACATTTTTATGTTTATACGTTCATTTTTTTTTTTATAGATAAAACATAAAAATGTCTTAAAATAATTGTTGAACTTTTTCCATTTCATAATGTGTGACATCATTTGTTTACATTTGGATATGCATAGAGCAGATATGAATGTACAAGAGAAAATCGTGGAGAATTGTAGTTTAAATACAGTAAAATCGACCTTGCTAGCCAAAATGATCCTCTGTGGCTCAATTGGTAAAAGCACGTCAGGCTATATGACAGTTCCGTATAGGATACAGGTTTGATTCCTGTTGGAGGATGCATATTTTCTATGAAAATTTCTCAGACATTCAGGCCAGTAAATGTTATGAATACTGTATATTATAAACAGAGCATTTACTTAAATATTTGCATCTCTAAAAAGAATGTATAAACATAAAAATGTCTTAAAATCTTTTGTTAAATATGATGGAGAAAGAAAAATTTATTTTAATTTTTTTTTTTTGTTTAAGTTTAAGTTTTTCCAGCATTCTTACATTTTTCTGTTTGGTGGGCGAGTCCAAAATCTGTCCGTAGCATCCATTATCCAAAGCACCTGCAGCCACATACTGAGCCATTGTCAAGGGTTTTTTTTTTTTTTTTTTTTTTAAAAAGAAACTAACACCACTAAAACAAAACCTAAACAGGAAAAAAGGGATAGACCTCTACTACTGTTCAAAAGACTGGGGAGGAGTGTGAACCAGATGATAGGCAAACCTATATACTCCCATTGGTGGAAGAGAGAAAGACTGAAGCAGACTTTAGAAGGGATCGGAAACCCAACCCTAAACAGGAAATGAGCAATAACCCTCTACTACTGTTCAAAAGACTGGGGAGGAGTGTGAACCGGATGATAGACAAACCTATATACTCCTACTGAGTAAATAATAGTAAATTTTAGGCAGAGATGTTATAAGTATCGGGTTGAAGCAGAATTTAGAAGAAACTGGAAACCTGACTTCATGATAACCCCGTTTTTAAACCCTAATTTACCTGAGTGTTTATTTGATGTACTGTCATTGAGAACTGGTGTGTTTCATGCCTTTTTATTTGAATACCAGTCTTCATTAGTCACATTCGAAGGTTGTCCTTTAGAAATTTTCACTCCAGTCATCAAGAGGATCCAGGCAGACAGAAGATGGTGATTGACATTGCATTTAAATTTTTGAAGATTGCAGGTGGCAGGGAAGCAAGAAACTGTAAGTGAGTTCCACAGGTAAACAAAAAGATGCAAGAAAATTACACCACCTGCACAGCCAAGTCTACATTACCTGGTATTCCCAAGCAGTCAATCATCGAGGTACTGACCAGGCTTGATGTTGCTCAACTTTGGTGATTGTACATGAACCAGTGTTTCAATGTGACATGGCTGTAAGCATGTAGATAGCACTTCAGCTCTACAACTTCATCCAGTAACACATTACATTGAGTGGCTCTTAGTCCTTGTATGGAATGAACATAGAAAGCTTCAGGATTATAAGACATTAGAAATTGAGGAATGATCTAAGCACTTAAAGACAATTCAGTTGACATGTAAAGAATGAGGTGAAGGTTACATTTGAGCAGGACATGACTCCAGTAACACACAATGGGCACAGTTGTGTAGGCCATTGTTACCAAACTTTTGGCTAAATTAAGTTCATATACACGAAGTCAATAAGAAGATCTTTTTAAAAAATATTGACTTGCATAAAATAAAACATTGGAATATTTTTATTAACAAATGAAATTGTTTTTATTTGAGAAATTCAGTCCCACCATTGTGGCAGGTTAAAGAAAGTTCTTGAAAATACCTCTTGGAAAGTGATCATTACCAAAATGAAATTTAAGACAAAATTTTTGAAAGAACCACAAAGAAAAACCTTTATGTTTGTCAAAAACAGACAGCAAGTCTGCCTATTAAATCAGTCAAAACCACAGATGGCAGGTCTGCCTATTAAATCGGTCAAAACTGTTTTTGTGGCTAGCTGTTGTAGAGTAGTTTTCACAGTAGAGGCTTGTATTTCACTAAGTCGGTCCTAAATTATGTTCGATGTACAAAACGTTAGGAACTTGAAAATAATAGTTAATGACGCAGCAATCTAGTTGTGGTGGTTGATACTTCAATGTCCGACATCGACTGACTCACTCAACTTACTGAGCCCACTGGCGACTGCTACTACTACTACTACTTATTATCTGTGGGAGAGTCTATTTACAATAGAATAGGTATGATCTAGTATATCACTAACGTTTGCAAAGCAAAAGTGTGTATTGTTTGGAGCTCTTGGGAAAGAAAGAAAGAAAGAAAATAATTTGATGAGATTTGGAATGAACAAAGGAATGATGAATCAGGAATGATGAATCAGCAACAATAAAAATAAGAGAAGAAAGCATATTTGGTCCTTTCTTTTTTCCGTGATGAAGACAAAGTTTATATGGAATCGAAATGAAAAGAAAAAAAAAAAACCATCAAAACACTTGTTAGAAAACAACAGGTTTTGTTATCTGTGAAGATCTTAAAAACCATTTCATACCTTCAATTTTGGTGAATTATGTGACATAACAGAAGCAGCAGCATTTTCTTGTTTGGCGATTTTGATAGACTTTATTGTTAAGCAAGCTGAAAAGTGAAGACAGATAAATGTAAAAAGAGATTATTTAAAAAAAAAAAAAAAAAAAAAAAGTCCTAACCATTTTTCTTCAATATCTTGTATATTTCGAATGATCTTTGTTCAATAAACACACAAAGTTAATATGGTGGTCTCATGTCAATTTCAGTCAAACCCCTAAAATAAGTTTTACTTCAATGGTATTTCAGTGAAAGAGTTGTTTATGCTAAGGAGAAACTAAAGGAGAAACTAAAGAAGAAAAAAAAAAAAAAAAAAAAAAGAGGTTTCCTTTAACCCTTCAACAGAAGGCATCATTAATTAGATATCAATTGACGACAAAACTTTAACAAATATATGGACATCATTCAATCATGATTTGAGTCTAAATGACTAATTGGCAAATTTAGGTTTCATGAGGTTCCACGGCTGGCCCAGTGTACACAGATGCTTCCGCGGTTGGCCCAGGGTTTTCATACAATTTTTTACTTTTTGAATATAAGTAAAAATAGGCATTTAAATTTGTTTTTTTTTTTATCTTTTTGGCATGAACATTTTTGTAACATTTTTCTGCCATCTAAACCTTGAATGAAAGTTCTCGACTTTATAAGGAAATATTGTATATTCAGCTTGCTAAGATCAGCAGTAAGCTCAACTATCCATCACATACATTTGTATCAGAATACATTGTATTAATTCTCTTGTTGCACCAAATTTATAAGTTACACTTTATCATAGGAATTGTAGTATGTGATTTAGGCTAAGGAATACCCAAAGTCTAAATTGAATTCAATCTCCATCAGGAACCTTCATCTAAGAGTTGATCTGTGGTGACCACTACAGATACTGGGTTCACCATAATAGATAGTAAAATAGATTCAGATCCACAATTATTCCTATATAAAAGCCTCTAGAATAATTTGAAACTTAACAGATACCATGAACCATTAGGATAATATAATAGACCATTTTATCCATAATAATGCACCACTGACCAACATATATAGTCGAGCCAAAACACAACACACATGGTCTGAAGATTGCAAGTGTCCACTATATATATATATATATATATATATATATATATATATATATATATATATATGTGTGTGTGTGTGTGATTGAATAAATTACAGTCATTATGTCAGCTAATTTTCAACAAAATATGTTCATATTTCCATGCATTGATGTTAAAGGATGAGAGAAATGTGCTATATATTTATATATTTACACCAATACATGGAAGGTTATTCATGAGTATGAACTGATTTTGTTAAAAATTAGCAGACACAATGCCTGTAATTTATTCAATCACACATGCTTAAAAAAGAATTTGCTGCCTAAATACACAAATTTTTATATATCTCACAATTGTAGATAAAACACCAGCAGTTAGCACTGCTAAAAAATACAAACATCATCATCATATCCAGACAGACAGAACCCAACTTAATCAAGGTGGTATTAGTGGACCCACACCAATGAGTGTAGGTACAAGTCTACATATGTGTATACATGTGTGAGTGAATGTGATCTGACAGCCGATCTGAAAGACATCTAGACCACCCCCACCTGTTCCTTCTCGAGAGAACATTGCTACATATATAAATGCTACGGTCTTGACACTGAAATAGAATGCCAATTGCGTACATATGTATGCTTGAATGCATGAGCGTGTATCTGTACCTAACCTCAGATTCCTTTCTAAGTGTGTCTGTACGAACTAAAATTCATTACACCTGTGTGTATGCGAGAGTGTCATCCCAAAACACAGAAGAAAATCCCCCCACCTCCAACACAAATAATCAAACACAAATAAGCATAAAAAGACCCACTTACTAAAAAAAATAAACCAGTTTGTCTGATGATCACAGAAGTGTGAAACCTGGGGTTATAAACTAATATCCATGCAATTGAATATTTATATATATATGTTTCATTAAAAATGACAGACAAGGTACTACGGTTGAGCTTTTTATTTAATTTTTCTTGTGTTCTGACAAGAGCTTTCTTTTCTGGACAAAGGATGTGTAAGAACTGTCCGAATGTTTTATATTTCCAAGCGCTTTCGGCTATACCTTTAGCCATTATTAAGGCTTTTTTTGCAAGTGGATGCAGTTAATATATTTGTGTTTTCTACTAGTATGTTCCTAATGGTGTCGGGTAAATCTGGGTGTGTGTTTAAATGTGTTCTGATGGAGCTGTGATCAGATAGGTGTAACGTAAGACGCCTGGATAAACATGTGGTTGTGTAGCCGATGTAATTATTTATGAGTCCGGTTTGATCAGGAAGGCAGTTCCTTAAAGGGCATTTGAACTCATAGATAAAAGACTAAAAATAATGGAAGCTCTAATAATAAAAAAGAAAAAGCCAACTCTTAACAATATTAACTACGAACAAAGCCACAATGTGCTAACGGTATTCGGAAATTAAAAACATCCCCACCACACACTGATACATACACAGAACGCACACACTCAACTAAGCTGATAATCGAATCATCCTTGATAATGGCTAAAGGTATAGCCAAAAGCGCTCGGAAATATAAAACATTCGGACAGTTCTTACACACCCTTTGTCCAGAAAAGAAAGCTCTTGTCAGAACACAAGAAAAATTAAATAAAAAGCTCAACCGTAGTACCTTGTCTGTTGTTTTTAATGAAACATGTATAAAGGAAGGATTGCTGCCTAAATATACAACTATCATATATACAGTATATCACAAAAGTGAGTACACCCCTCACATTTCTTCAAACATTTAAGTATATCTCTTCATGGGACAGCACTGAAAAAATTACCTTTTGACACAATGAAAAGTAGTCTGTCTGCAGCATATATAACAGAGTTAATTTCTTTTCCCCTCAAAATATAGCCATTAAAAGCTAAATCCCTGGCAACAAAAGCGAGTACACCCCTAAGAAACTACACCCCTAAATATCTAAATTGAGTACTGCTTTTCATTTTCCCTCCAAAATGTCATGTGACTCATTAGTGTAACTATGCCCATGATGTGTTCATGAGGAGCAGGTGTATTCAAATTTGTAGTGCAGCTCTAACACTCTCTCTTACCGGTCACTGAAAGTTCCAACATGGTACCACATGGCAAAGAACTCTCTGAGGATCTTAAAAAACGTATTGTTGCACTACATAAAGATGGCCAAGGCTACAAGAAGATTGCCAACACCCTGAAACTGAGCTGCAGCACAGTGGCTAAGATCATCCAGCATTTTAAAAGAGCAGGGTCCACTCAGAACAGGCCTCGGGTAGGTCGTCCAAAGAAGCTGAGCGCCACATCCAAATGCTTTCTTTGAAAGATCAGCATAGGAGTGCTGTTAGCATTGCTGCAGAGATTAAAGAGATTGGGATTCAGCCTGTTAGTGGTCAGACCATACGCCGCACACTACATCAAATTGGTGTGCATGGATGTCACCCCAGGAGGAAGCCTCTTCTGAAGGCAATACACAAGAAAGCCCGCAAACAGTTTGCTGAAGACATGTCAACAAAGCCCATAGATTACTGGAACCATGTCCTATGGTCTGATGAGACGAAATTTAATTTGTTTGGTTCTGATGGCCTTAAGCATGTGTGGCGGCGACCAGGTGAGTGTGTCATGCCTACAGTCAAGCATGGTGGTGGGAATGTCATGGTCTGGGGCTGCATGAGTGCTGCAGGTATTGGAGAGTTACATTTCATTGAGGGAAACATGAACTCCAACATGTACTGTGAAATACTGCAGCAGAGCATGATCCCCTCCCTCCAGAAACTGGGTCACAGAGCAGTGTTCCAGCATGACAATGACCCCAAACACACATCCAAGACAACCACTGCTTTACGGAAGAAGCTGAGGGTAAAGGTGATGGACTGGCTAAGCATGTCTCCAGACTTGAACCCAATAGAACATCTTTGGGCCATCCTCAAGCAGAAGGTGGAGGTGTGCAGAGACTCAAATATCCGCCAGCTTCGCGACGTTGTCATTGAGGAGTGGAAGAGCATTCCAGTGACTACCTGTGAAGCTCTGGTAAACTCCATGCCCAGGAGAGTAAAGGCAGTTTTGGATAATGATGGTGGCCACACAAAATATTGACAGTTGACATGTTGTATGTTAATACTGACAACTTTTCCTAAGGGGTGTACTCACTTTTGTTGCCAGGGATTTAGCTTTTAATGGCTATATTTTGAGTTATTTTGAGGGAAAAATAAATTAACTCTGTTATATATGCTGTAGACAGGCTACTTTTCATTGTGTCAAAGTGTCATTTTGTCAGTGTTGTCCCATGAAGAGATATACTTAAATATTTGAAGAAATGTGAGGGGTGTACTCGCTTTTGTGATTATATATATATATATATATATATATATATATATATACGAGAGAAAATTACATACAGATTTTTTTTTATATATATATACTGGAACAATGTTACGAACATGAATGACAAAGTGGAAAAAATTGCTTATGACTTGTTTTATGAAATATTCTGTATTATATTTTATGCAATCGTGAATTAAGTATTAAGATAAAAATAACAGACCATTTCCAGTGTAGCTGATCTCCACGATGTTGCTCGCCAAGGATAAGATGTAACTTTCCAGAGATTTAAATCCAACATCATCTGGTTGGAAATAATCACCTGTTATTTTCTGGGAGAAAAAAAAAAAAAAAAAAAGATCAAACACAAAATGTCATCAATTCAAGTGAACACAAAAAGATTGTTTCCTGTTTATTGAATAAAACCGTCATCATATTGTTCCACTAACTTCAGCCATCTTTTAAACAACTCCATAATTCCATCCTCCCAGAATGTTACCTTATTAAACAACAATTACAACATTTTTTTTCTTTATTACCTTATTAAACAACAATTACCATTTTTGAAAGGTACCATAATGCTAAAGTGTTACATGTGGATACTTAAGAAAAATGTCTGCTATCTGTATGGATTGATTTAACAAAAAAAACAAAAAAAACAAAAAAAAAACAAAGAAAAAAAAAAAGAAAAACAAAAACAAAAAACAAAGAAAAAAACAAAGAAAAAACAAAGAAAAAAACAAAAAAAAAACAAAAGAAAAAAAAAAGAAAAAAACAAAGAAAAAACAAAGAAAAAAAAAAAAAACAAAAAGAAAAAAACAAAGAAAAAAAAAAAAAACAAAGAAAAAACAAAGAAAAAAAAAAGAAAAACAAAAGAAAAAAAAAAAAAAACAAAGAAAAAACAAAGAAAAAACAAAGAAAAAACAAAGAAAAAACAAAGAAAAAACAAAGAAAAAACAAAGAAAAAACAAAGAAAAAACAAAGAAAAAACAAAGAAAAAACAAAGAAAAAACAAAGAAAAAACAAAGAAAAAACAAAGCAACAATAAAAAATATCTACTTTAAAACATAAAAACATTTCTCTTGGTAAAGAATTTTATCAATTGATATGAAGAACTACATCAGCAGGGAGGTTTGATATAGATAGATATATATTAGTGAAATTGTGTAACACAGTGGAAAATGTTTACTTGTGACACATTTCATCCTTCAGGACTTCATTGGATTACATTTGTTATGCTGGTAGGACTACATATGCACACGGCAGAGGGGTACTGGGAATTTTAGAGTTTTTTTTTTTTTTTTTTTTTATCTAGCCAAATTCATTTAGAGCCTTTTTATCACTTTTCTAAATAAGTGTTCTACACTGATATTAGAAGATCTGTCGGGATCCAGTGCAGAAGTTTACTATAGATGACCTAGCGATAAAGGCAATCCGGAGACATTTATGTTGTAAATTTGCACCCTGGCTCTTACAAAATTTCACCATTCCTGGCAGATCTTCTAATATCACAATGTAGAATACCTACTTCCAAAAGTGATGAAAACAAAAAGATGCTAAATGAATTTGGCTGATAAAAAAAAAAAAATTCTAAAATTCCCAGTTTCCTTCTGATGTGCAAATGCGTAGTCCTACCAACATAACAAATTTAGTCTGATTAAATACTGAAGGATTGAACACGTCACAAGTAAACTTTTTCCACTTTGTCATACAATTTCCCTAATACTGTTCTTGATAGAGATAGAATTATTTATTCAAAAATTATAACATGAATCATACTTATTATAAAACCCAGGTTGTGTGTGTGTGTGTGTGTGTGTGTGTGTGTGTGTATGTGTGTTCGTTTATATATTGGATCGGATTTCCTACATTTTTCAACAGATTTCAACAAAACTTCAGAGGACTACGTAAAATTACCTTGCAGTGGTTCTGACAGCACCAAAAATTGGAAAAACAATTGCTTTTGCATGAAATCAATTTAAAAACACAATTAAGTCACCAGAATGAAAGGGGGACAACTCATATTGAGTTATATTATAAAACGCAGGTTGTTTGTGTGTGTGTGTGTTCATTTATATATGGGATCGGATTTCCTACATTTTTCAACCGATTCCAACAAAATTTCACTTTTTTTTTTGGCAGGTAGTGTTTCTTATTGTCTTGCACACTTTTTTCTTTATTTTTACATTCAGAATGCTTTAAAATTTCCATTTACAAGACAACTGTTTATAATAAAGTTCTATTTAATCGGTAGACTCATAACGATTGAAAACAATGTTTTTGTTTGAGTTTGACCAATTCATAAAAAAAAAAAACTAATTAAGACATGCGTGTCCGTCAACCTTAAACAATAATCTTTGTCAATTTTATTTTTCAGTCTTTATGATGGTCGATACTTGATCTATCTCTTACTGTTACATCCCCGAGCAATGCTGGGCTCTACTGCTAGTATGTTATAAAATCACTACAAAAAAATGGCCATTTTGTTTCAATATTTTTAGTGTCTTATCAAGTGATGGTGCTGAATGTAGAATAAAGAGTTTTTAAAAGGTTCAAATTGACCAAACACCACTCAATAATGGAAATGCTGTTACATAAGCTACAATGACAAATCAAAATACAAGTATATGAGAATTCAAAAATGACCAATCAAAATGCAAGTATATGAGAATTCAAAAATGACCAATCAAAATGCAAGTATATGAGAATTCAAAAATGACCAATCAAAATGCAAGTATATGAGAATTCAAAAATGACCAATCAAAATGCAAGTATATGAAAATTCAAAAAACTTTACAATGAACCTTGGTTATAATTATTAATGCTTTAAAAAAATGTTAAAATAGAAATCATTCTAACTGATTAATTTTTAATTTTACTATGAAATTAAAAATAAAAGTTACCAATTTTAAATTTAACCTATATGAAGTTTAAAATAAAATATAAAATTATTTATCTACTATTATATATATATATATATATATATATATATATAAAAAATATGATTCCATCGTGACACAGAAATTAAGAGTAATTTCTGTGTTGCAATGGAATCATTTATAAAAAAATAATTATAATCTAGGCTCTACTTGTGCATTGAGCACTGTCTTTTAAAAATAAAAACAAAAATACTAAAGAACTTTGGATCATCAATCTAACAGTTCTTTCCTATTATATCAATATATACGCACACACACACACACATATATATATATATTATATATATGCCCTGTCTGTGGGTTATTTTCCTGTACTTCTTAATATGTGACATCAGTTCTGGGGGACAATTTTGGCCAACTGTTGTCTTCAACAAGTCAGAGAGTTGAGTTCAAATTCCAGTCAGGTTTAAAACATTCACTCATGCATAAATATCCTTGGGAAAAGTATTAATCCATCTTTCCTTCCCCCATCTATAGGTTAATTAATTGTATCTGGGGGGGAAAAAAAATTGTTATCTCCAAAATTTAACAATACAATATTCACTCACAAAAAGGTTATTCTTTTAATCCAAAATATGTTTTGACTTTAAATAACTCACAAAGAGTTGACAAGGCTTAAGAAACAAAACAAGACAAAAAAAACAAAACAAGAAAAACAAGACAAGACAAAAAAAAAAAAAACAAAACAAAAAACAAAACAAGACAAAAAACAAAACAAGACAAAAAACAAAACAAGACAAGACAAAAACAAAACAAGACAAAAAAAACAACAAAACAAAACAAGACAAAAAACAAAACAAAACAAAACAAAAACAAAACAAGACAAAAAAAACAAGACAAAAAAAACAACAAAACAAAACAAGACAAAAAAACAACAAAACAAAACAAGACAAAAAAAAAAAAAAACAAAACAAGACAAAAAAAAACAAAAAAAAAACAAGACAAAAAAAAACAAAAAAACAAGACAAAAAAAAACAAAAAAGACAAGACAAAAAAGACAAGACAAGACAAAACAAGACAAGACAAAACAAGACAAAACAAGACAAGACAAAACAAGACAAAACAAGACAAGACAAAACAAGACAAGACAAGACAAGACAAAGACAAAAAAGACAAGACAAAAAAGACAAGACAAAAAAGACAAGACAAAAAAGACAAGACAAAAAAGACAAGACAAAAAAGACAAGACAAAAAAGACAAGACAAAAAAGACAAGACAAAAAAGACAAGACAAAAAAGACAAGACAAAAAAGACAAGACAAAAAAGACAAGACAAAAAAGACAAGACAAAACAAAAAGACAAGACAAAAAGACAAGACAAAAAAGACAAGACAAGACAAAAAGACAAGACAAAAAAAAAAAGACAAGACAAGACAAAAAGACAAGACAAGACAAAAAGACAAAACAAAAAGACAAAAAGACAAAAAAAAGACAAAACAAGACAAAAAAGACAAAACAAGACAAAAAGACAAAACAAGACAAAAAGACAAAACAAGACAAAAAGACAAAACAAGACAAAAAGACAAAACAAGACAAAAAGACAAAACAAGACAAAAAGACAAAACAAGACAAAAAGACAAAACAAGACAAAAAGACAAAACAAGACAAAAAGACAAAACAAGACAAAAAGACAAAACAAGACAAAAAGACAAAACAAGACAAAAAGACAAAACAAGACAAAAAGACAAAACAAGACAAAAAGACAAAACAAGACAAAAAAGACAAAACAAGACAAAAAAGACAAAACAAGACAAAAAGACAAAACAAGACAAAAAGACAAAACAAGACAAAAAAACAAAACAAGACAAAAAAACAAAACAAGACAAAAAAACAAAACAAGACAAAAAAACAAAACAAAAAAATCCAGTTTGGTGCCTTCAAGTGATCTAAACAAAAGCAATTTGGTTCCACCCCCACCCCATGAAAGGATTTCATAGAAAACTCATTCCCCATTCATAATAGGTACACAACATAACCACCTTTGGATGAAGGCTGGTATTTAGTTTGATCTGTAGCATCCTGCTACCATTTCCTTATAAATGTTGAATTTTGTACATTTTTGTGAAAAAAATGGATTAGAGAGCCTGCTCAGCTTAGTAAATATTTTCAGGAAATATCAGCTTCTAACTGGTCAATAAACACACAAGTGGGCGTTGCAATCCACCCACATACAAATATTTTTCCAGCGCGTGACCAAGTCAGGTTTCCTGCCATTTGCTGCGAACCTGTCACGTGATTACATTATCTATAAATAGCAGACACAAGCTTGCTTTTTCTCACTCTCCTTTCTTCATTCGCCTAAGAAGATGTGATCTTCAGGATTCTCATCTAGACCATGGGCGGTCAGACGTTAAAAGCATATTCACACATGAACTTATGTACAAACTTTTCCAACCTACATTACAAACATACAGAACATTTCCAAACATGCAACAAGAACTTTTCTCTCTGAAATATTCTTCTAAAACTACAGTTTATTCAGCATTTCTCAGCTTTATAATTAATTCAACTTTTCTGAGTTCAGATGAAAATATTCCCAGTCTAAGAGACATAACTCCAACAGATCTTTAACTTCTACACATGTACATCAACACACAAATAAATAATGTTATGTTTTTTAAAACCATTTTGTTCCTTCTTGTATTTCATGCTTTGTGGTATTTTATATATAAATTGTGTGGTCATGTTATTCACGCAGCCGTAGATAAACATCTACAATTGTCCATTCTTATAACCAAGTCACTACATAATGATAACTCCGACGTCTGAAACAGGGTGAGAAAAACAACTAGACCACCCCAGATCAGTGGCACTTGATTTTGACTGACAATTGTTGCCAGTCTGTTGTGGAGTATTTTCACAGTGGAGGCTTGTATTTCTAATAAGTCATCCTAAATTAGGTCCGATGTACAAAACGTTAGGAACTTGGAAAATAAGAGTCAATAGCGCAGCAATCTAGTTGTGATGGTTGGTACTTCAAATGTCCGAATCTCGACTGATGCGCTCAACACCATTCTGCCAGACTTGCCACTGCTACTCCTACTTATTATCTATGGGAGAGTCCATTACCAAAGAATAGGTAGTATAACACAGTCAAAATCAAATACCACCTTTATTCGCCATCACTAAACATATTCATCAAAACTTTCATTCTTTCTAATGATTCCATATTCAATGCAGTAGCAAATATGTCCACAGAAAAAGAAAATAATAAAAAGAAAGAATAAGATAGTGACAAGATTTTCTGTCCAACTCAAAAAACATTTGCTTACTTTATAATATTCCATGAATTGGTCAAGGTTTACTCCTTCAGGAATTGTTTCAAGCATTTTTGAAATATTGAGGCGAACTTCCTTCTCCCGCTCTTTTACCAGACTGGTTTTGCTTACTTCCAAAAGTTTAATTTGATCTGCAAAGGTTGGAGGAAAGAAAACATGATTAGTTAAATCAGAAGGAAGATGAAAAATGTTCAAGCACGACTCAAGGTTTCAAAATGATGCCGTCTGTAATGGTTGATTTTCAACATGATTTTGACCCCTAGTCTTCAATAGACAAATATTTCATTTAATAGCCATAAAATACAAACACAAATCATGTATAGATTTAGGGTACCCTCAATATACACCAGCCTAAATGTACAGTTACTACCTGACTATGTAACCTTTCATCTCATGGTTAGATTCACAAGTCAAAAATTTTATGAAACAAATCCATCCAAACTTTCATTCCCTCTAAATGATTCGATATCTAGTGATATAGTAAATACTAAAAGCATCTATAGAAATTCATTGCAAATGATTTTACTATAGGAATGCATTAGAAATGATTTGAATACTAGGTCTTTATGGAACCTGAAATATTATGGCTAGGATTTATGAAACAAATCCATCCAAACTTTCATTCCCTCTAATGATTCCATATCTAGTGATATAGCAAATACTACAAGCATTGACAGGAATGATTTTGCTACAAGAATACACTAGACATTTTTTTTAGTACTAGTTTTGCTGTTACTGCATCACCAGTGAAAATCCACCCAAGACAAAAAGCATAAAAATGAAATTGAGTATAAGAGTGTAATTTTTACTTACCAACGATCTTTTCAACTGCAGCAAAAGGTTTCTGGGCATCAAATAAAAGCCAATCTCCACTGACCGTTGGCCGGACAATGCGGACAGACTTTAATTTGGATACTAATTCTATCACAGAGAGATAACCCAATTCTCTGTAGTCCAGATCTTGACCGTGGATTTTCTGAAGAGGAGAAAAGAAAATTTCTAAAATTAAATTTCTTCATCTTTAATTTCCCAAATTTCTGTATACCTATTATGATCAAGTTTCACGATAGTCATCTACATGTAACAGAGCTGCTCCATCAACTGTGCATCAGCCAAATTATTACAGTCTTGATTTTCTCATTTGTCTATATATTTCTGACACGAGTTATTGTAACTATTTACACTATTTACATCTTTTTGGACTGTTGTCCTCATCTTTATTGCCATATTCACAACATTTTGGACATTGTATGATCCAGACTTCTTCAGGTGATATATGTCAGAATTTCAAACTGAATCCTTTATTTAATCTATGGAGATAAATTGTTCTAATTCCATGTGCCATGCCTTTGGATATCTGTTTTCAGTTAGTTTCCCTTAGTCACTCAACTCTCCAAGTCATAAAAAATAATGTAAATAGAATATCTCAGAAATATAGACAGATCCCGAAAAAGGCTGGAGTGTACAATGGCCGAAATGTTGTAAACATGACAATGAAGATGACGATGTTTTAATACAATTCTAATCATTCACTTTCATCATATGTTTAAGTTTATTACAATTCTAATCATCGCTTTTTAAAACAAGTATTGTTGAGGAATAAAAGGTAGTTAAAATAACAGCAGTGTTAAGGAAGAAGCCACCTTTTGACGCAACATTTTTTTTTCATGAACACAAAGGTCCAAGAATTTCTGATGTTTGGCCATTTAGTCAGATTTTCTGCACCAGCACCTCCCAATTTTTTTTTTTATTTTTAAAGGGAGATAAATATGGTATTACAAAAATTCCTGATCAAAGTAAATTCAGTTAAAAGTTTACCCCTCATTTACAAAACCTACCAAATCACCCAATATTGCAGACTTATTTAGTCTTACAGATGAAAGACAATATTTACTTGGTATTCCACACACAGCATTGAGGCATAAAGACCATTTGGATGTTTTTTCAAGACCTGCAAGATTAAAAATAAAAATGATGTATTATTTGTCAATTTGTATCAATGCATCGGTTTACTATTAAAATTCTTAACAAAAAAAAAAAAAAAAAAAAAAAAAATGGGAAGAAATGGATTATCAGTGGTCAGGAATTAAATATTACTGGTAGAATATGGCTTCAGGAAGGGATTTTCAACGGTCAGGAATTAAGGTGAGTGTTGCTTACATAACAGTTGTAATGTGGATAAGCAAATATTCATTTATTGATTTTTAAGTAAAATTTGTCTGGGTGTGTTATTACTCATTTCCCATAATGTCATTCAACAAGAACAATTATTGAATTTTTTGTGGTTAGACAACTGGTGAGAATGGTATTTACTGACAAACATAAAAGGTCAAAATCTTCAAAGGTTAAAAAAAAGGCAGTGTTGAGATGGAATCCAAGAAAGAAATGGCTCAAGCAATATTGTCCGATTTGAAAGTATCAAAAAATTAATTTTTCTTAAATATTTAAAACCTCTGTATTTGAAATCCAATCTTTTATAAAATTATAAGTTTTAATTATAGGCTAGATTTTATTTTTTGTCAATTTGCGAGACAAAGAGTTATCATTATTTACACTATTTACATTCGGACTATTGTTCAGCCTCTGTTAAGTGTATATCAATTCAGGTAATCTACATGGAATTCTCCCCAACCGACTCTCACAGTTAGTATTTATGAGAGGAGGATGAGTTCATTCTACTTTAAGTGGGTTTACCACAACAGTTACCCAGATTGATATACACCCAATGAACACAATGGTTGAAACATTGTGATAACAACAACGATGCTGATGATGATGATGACAATAGCCTGAATATAAAAAGTGTAAATAAAATCTCATCCCAGAAATTCAGCAAAAAGAAAAAACAAACTTATTTTTTTTCCATAAGTATATGGCTCTTAGTATATAAAATTATTATATATATATATATATATATATATATATATATATATATATATATATATATATATATATATTAGTTTCTGAATTCAAAACAAGTTTTCTAAATAAAAAAAATCTGACAATAATAGCTATAGAACTAATAAATTGCTGGAAAAGATGTCATATTGTGAGACAAATTCAAGACTTCATAGCTTTACAAGAACTTCTTAGTCTAATTGGTAACAATTAGTAGGTGAAGACCAATCAAAAAGGTCAGCACACAAAAATAGTAGAAGTGAATAGTTACCTTTTCTATCTTTTGGGTAACGTCTGGATTGATGGACATTTCAAAATCGTCAATCCATAAGTCAACAATGTCGTCTGCATCATTCATTTCTCTAACAAAGTTATTTGGAGACACCATAGCAGTCGGACTTCTTCTGGAGTCTTAAAAAAAAAAAAAAAAAGAAAGTATTACTTTGACAAATTTTAATTAGAATAATTTAGAAAGTTTTAAAACTTAAAATTCTGTATTTATTTGTACCGGTCAAGTGATACTATCATTAAATAAAAACTATATTTACTAATCATAAATTACTACAATTCAGTAACTCCCAGCATTTTAAAAAGTATTAAAAATTTTCTTATCTGTATTTTTTGTAAATACAGAGATACATACATGCCATTATCAGAAAATAAGAACAGTAATAAAGTAAATATAAAATTTATTGATAATTTTCTAACATTTCCTCAACAAGTGCTTTCATGAGCAAAACCATAAAGCCAAAGTATCTAAAATTCAATAAAATATTAGAATGTCTAAAATATTTAAAATTTTGTTAAAGATCACTGGGTAGTTAAAAAATAAATCATCTAAAAAAGCTCTTATGTTAATTTGTCATGTAATTTTACGACAAGTATTCCTTCACTTAAATCAATTTAGCAAATATCGGGTTACTGATAAGTGTCAACACCCCATAAAAAACATACCACTGTATGTATGTATGAAAGAAAGAAAGAAGAAAAGAGAAAGAAAGAAGAAAAGAGAAAGAAAGAAGAAAAGAGAAAGAAAGAAGAAAAGAGAAAGAAAGAAGAAAAGAGAAAGAAAGAAGAAAAGAGAAAGAAAGAAGAAAAGAGAAAGAAAGAAGAAAAGAAAAAGAAGAAAGAAAGAAGAAAAGAGAAAAAGAAAGAAAGAAAAAAGAAAAGAAAGAAGAAAAAGAGAAAGAAAGAAGAAAAGAGAAAGAAAGAAGAAAAGAGAAAGAAAGAAGAAAAGAGAAAGAAAGAAGAAAAGAGAAAGAAAGAAGAAAAGAGAAAGAAAGAAGAAAAGAGAAAGAAAGAAGAAAAGAGAAAGAAAGAAGAAAAGAGAAAGAAAGAAGAAAGAGAAAGAAAGAAGAAAAGAGAAAGAAAGAAGAAAAGAGAAAGAAAGAAGAAAAGAGAAAGAAAGAAGAAAAGAGAAAGAAAGAAGAAAAGAGAAAGAAAGAAGAAAAGAGAAAGAAAGAAGAAAAGAGAAAGAAAGAAGAAAAGAGAAAGAAAGAAGAAAAGAGAAAGAAAGAAGAAAAGAGAAAGAAAGAAGAAAAGAGAAAGAAAGAAGAAAAGAGAAAGAAAGAAGAAAAGAGAAAGAAAGAAGAAAAGAGAAAGAAAGAAGAAAAGAGAAAGAAAGAAGAAAAGAGAAAGAAAGAAGAAAAGAGAAAGAAAGAAACAAATATTCTGTAAAACATTACCAAGAAAACTGCAAACATATGTACTATATACAATGCAGATAATGTGACACTGATGCCACGATGCCTGGTGAAGCAATGTGTAGAGGCTCAGATTGAGGAATTGGAGAGCCGAGTTTGAATTTCAGTCAAATTCATTGCATTCACTTACATGCTAATACCCTTGGGAAAGGTATGAACCTCTTCTCCACACCTCAACTATGGGTAAATAGCAGGACAGACTGGGTTCTATAGCCTTGGATGGCAACCTACTGCAGGGAAAAAAAATCTGCCTCATCAGTCATGTATCGAAAGATACATGATCACCTAAACGTGTTTCATGCATGTCATATAATTGACTGAGGCCATGAAGTGGTTAATAGTGGGGTATAAGCTGGAAAATAGAGAAGTGAAAAGGTGCCATCTGGATTGTCTCGCTTGTTGAATTGGAACAATGCACCAAGATGCGGTGAAATATATTAAGAAATAATTTTATTTCTTCCTTGAGAATTTTAGAAAACAAATATTATTAACGAGGAGAGGGATAGGTCTGGGCTATATTTTTGCAGGCAAAAACAAATTGGGAAATAATTTTATTTCTCACTTGCAAGATTAAATGAGAACAAATTTCTTTTACAAAAGGTACAAAGTAATGAAAACACGTCCTGTCATCAGCAGGCAAAAGTGTAGTCTAGTTTATATAGACAGGGAAACAGAAAAGAATCAGAGAATATAAATTAATGACTAAAATAAAACTGCCCTTTTGCCTAGGTGCTTTGAAAATTAGATTTGTCACAAAGACAGTTAAGCCTGCCCTGTGAAGGAGGCTGAGGCTGAATGCTAATAGGGTAGGAGAAAGGCGGCGAATTTAGCACCACTAGTATAGAGTGACAGTGTGAGATGTAAAGTGAAGCATGCTGGAGTTGATAGGAGGAGCAATCCCTGTGACTACTCCCAAGGAAAGTGGACAATTCTCCAAATTTGGAAAGTTGATTAAGAAAGCAGAAATAGGAGACAAAGAACCCTTCTTGGGATTTATGTGAAAATTGGGGAATCACCAAATCCCCAGAACCTGTTGGCCCCATTCTGGTTTTGGGCTGGAATGCATATAGCTTTGAGAGCTTGAGGACTTTCATGATGAATTCCCACATCAAGTGCCTATGTAATCGTCAGCTGCAACCAGATCTCTTGGCTCTGAAGAACTTTGAACCCATCTCCTCCAGAAATTTAGTTGAGGCCCAGTGTCACTAGAGAGATTGATGTGGGAAGGGTTAATTTTTATTGTACCAAGAACTACATAAACTAATTGAAGATTGACCCAATGATTCTTTCATTTTTATTTCCGTTTATGAAGATATTTCTTGCTTTAATATAGTTTCTGCCACGGCTTGATACAGCATTACTACAACATTTGATCTTTCACTGCTCCGAGATCAAGAACACAACATGGACAGAGTGGGTGTGGATCGAAGTAGACAGTGATGAACAGCCAACTTGGACCAGCCCTGTGGTTAAAAGGTTGGCCTCAAACTCTGAGGACCAGATTGCTAGGTGTGGTTACACCATCAGGCGTTGGTGGCATGAAGAGGAGCTATAATGTAACATACTTTTGACAAAACCAATTCTTTAAACTAAACAAATACGGTAACTAAACAAAAAAAAAATAAATAAAAAATAAAATAAAAAAATAATACATAAAGTAAATAAATAAAATTACAACACAAATACACACATAACCACAACTAAGTAAAGTTAATTAATGAATAATCTCAAAATACTGAAAGTAATCAATAAGAGATCATGTGGCAACCAGTGATCTTAAGAGACCATGGATCTGCACCTGAAAAGTTATGCCACAACTGCTTTTGGTAGTGCAGCATCTGTTATGGCTGTACAGACCCACACAAGGGCCTGTACAGTCATAAATGCTGCACTATAACAACTATAATTTGATCAATTTATCCTTTTTTTTTTATTTATTTATTGATTGTAATATTTTTTATGGGTGTGGAAAAGTAGGAAAAGTGTTTTGAGTTGCAACATTATTTTATTTACTACTTTTATTATTGATTCAGAATAGTCAATTTCTCCTATTATCTTTGAAATATTTTTAACAAAAAAGTTCCCATGTATTTGATGATAATTTTATACTTTTATTCTTTCCTTATTTGATTTCTATTATTATCATTTAAGTAATAATTCTAAAAGTGGTACATGTGATGACAAACTGTTTAATCAATAACAAGTCTAAAAGTTTAACCTTTGTACCTGCAAAAAAAAAAAAAAAAAAAAAAAAAAAATTGAATTGACAACAAAGATGCTAAACACTATTAGACTGCTTATTTACAAGAATATTTTTCTTTATATATTTTATTGTTATACATCATTTACCTATACACAAATATTTAAAAGTTTAGCTACGATGGAACATCTTGTCAGCAGGGTCAACTTTACTACTTTTAAACTACAAACTTCCCATGATTTCCCTCGAACATCCATATCTGCTTGAAGTTCCTTCATAGCTAAACTAGTATAACATGTCATACTATATGACAGTTCTGTGTAGGATACAGGTTCGATTCCCGTCGGAGGACACATATTTTCTATAAGATTTCTTAGACGTTCAGGCCGGTAAATGTTAATGTTTATTATAAACAGAGCATTTACTTAAATATTTGTGTATATTTGCAAATGACATAACAGTAGAATATATTAAAATAATTGTCGGACTTTGTCCATTTCGTAGTGTAAGAATAATTTTCTATTTACAAGATATGTGAACCAATTTTAATGAAACTAAACATACTTTTAATTTTAGATTTTAAGCAAGACAACAAACACTGAATATTTTGAGCCTGTATTTCTCGATTCAGTGGATGGACTAAGTTTTCCTTGTGTTTAACTATACAATATTTAATTTTGACTACAAATATTGTATTGTCGTTGGTTTATACATTTCGATACTTTCATAATATTTTTTCGGAAATTTTTGTATTAAAAAGATTTTTCAAATCTGTTTCTTTATAAAACAGTAAATTGGTTGACATATTTTTATAAATCTTGTAAAATAATCACTACCGAGGGGGGGGGGGAAAAAAAAGTGTAGTAGTGGCATCATGGGAAAAACTGTCCTTTTGACAGTTTTTTTTTTTTTTTTTTTTTCAAAGGTACTGCCTGAAAAACATTTTTTCTATTCTGTCCAATAACCTTCCCTTTTGTTCTGTTGTGATATACTACACATATACTACATGAAATATGTAATGGCACTTATTTGACGACATAGCACTTTCCTTGCAGAATTTTCAACCCAAATGAAGGCTTTTCTGCTGACAAAAAGAGTATTCATATATTTCTGTTTGAATATCTGGGATGAGGAATTAATATTTGTAGAATTTGATAGTGGCAAATGATAATACTCAACTGTAATATAAGTTGAGTCTGACTGAGCAAGTGTAGAATTTGGTAATAGCAACAGACAGTTATGTGCCATACATGATACACGTGTAGGCGATCATGTATCTTTCAATACATGACTGACAAGGCAGACCCCCCCCCCACCGCAGTAGGATGCCATTTTTCTCTGTGGTAAACCAGTTGCCATCCAAGGCTCTAGAACCAGGTCTGCCCTGCTATTTACCCATAGCTGGGGGGAGAAAAAGAGGATTCATACCTTTCCCAAGGGTATTAGCAAGTGACTGTAACTGATTCGAATGGAATTCGAAATCGGCTCTCAGATTCCTCAATCCAAGCCACTATCCATTACTCCACCATATCTCAACAGAAAGTACTCAACTGTAATGGAAGTTGAGCCTGACTGACAGAACTGTTCAAGGGTTTTTAGTACCCTGGCTTTGGCCAGCATATCTGTCTCAAGTATGTCATTGGCTATGCCGCTGATGAGTTGATCCTTGATGTATACATTGGACAGGTTGTATTCACAAGAGGGACACCATTATTTACACATTCTTTATATTCAGACTGTCGTCTTCATCTTTTTTCATTGTTATCACAATGTTTCAGCCATTTGCCCCCCAGCCAACCTCACCTGAGCAGTGAAATGAAAAGAATAGCCTGGAGACTAAAGAGTTTAGCTCAGAATTCCCTGTAGGTTAACGATATACACCCAAAGAAGGCCAGAGGATACAACAGCCAAAACATTGTGATAGTCTGAATATAAATAGTGCAAATAAACTTCAGTGTTGTGCTCTGTAGAGCTGGAGGGTTTTTCATAAACACAGATGCTACATTTGGATTCTTTCTAAATCGATATCGTCATTTAAATTAAATTTGTTATGCACTTTTAGCATTAACCAACAAGAACAATTTCGAGATTTACTTACACAGGCTTTTTCTTAATTAATGGATTTATTTTTAATCTGAAATTATTTTACTTCAAATGTTATTCTTAATGGATACCTGTATCTGAAACGCTTTTTTTTTTTTTACACTTTAAACAGTTAATCAACCTGTGGACTAAAGAAAATGTACTCTGTCAGGATTTCAACCTGTACCTGTGTGTCCCTTTATAAGAGAAACCACGTGTGCTTCAGACCAATCAGCGACAGAAAACATCACAGTCAAGCAAGGTTCTATTTTTCATTTTGCTTGGTTTCAGATATGGGCTTTCAAGAAAAATCTGATTGAGGGAGAGTGTATATCTTGAAAGGAAAAAATAGAACCTGGCTGGGCTATGAGTAAGCAGTCTAAAGCACACAGAATCAAATGGTGGTTCCTCCTACAAAAGGTGGACACACATTTGAAATTCTTCTTGAGAAACATTAAAATTCCCTTCCTTTCTGCCATGTGACAATGGCCTAGGGGTAAGATATCTGACTGATGTCAAATCACTTGGGTTTCGATCATGGCTTGAAGCAATCGTACATCTAGCCACACTGAGGAACTGTGATACAGTGAAACAGTCTTTGGATGGCACGCACACACATATATATAAGTGAACATTGAAATCAACACTCAGAGGCCTCTGAGTATTGACTTCAATGTTCACTTTTATATTTATATACGCCTATCTGATATTGAGCACTTTATCCCATAAATATACACACACACACATATATATATATATATATATATATATATATATATATATATATATATATATATGTGTGTGTGTGTGTTTAGGCAGCAATCCTTGCAAATTTCATTAAATATGACAGACAAGGTGCTTTCATTAAGTTTTTTTTCATATAATTTCTCAAATGAACTTATTACTTTTTTGTCTTTTACATAGATAAATTATACAAAAACTGTCCAAATGTCAAACTGTGTTTTGAAAATAAAACATTTTATAATACTAAATACATACATATAACAATCCATTTCCAATTACCAGTAAATATAATTCTTCATTGATAATGGCTAAAGATATATCCGAAAGCGCATGGAAAAATAAAAGATTCAGACAGTTTTTGTATAATTTATCTATTTAAAAGAAAATAATTATAAGATTATATGAGAAATTACATAAAAAAAAAAACTTAAAGCCCCTTGTCTGTCATATTTAATGAAAGTTGTGTGTATATATATATATATATATATATATAAAAATATAATAAAAAGGCTTTACGATTCCAATGGAATAAATTATGACCATGGAATATTATTGTTTAAGCCTTTTTATATATCCTTACTCTGTCCTGGACATTGAGTTCTACCTGGATTCTATCCCCTTGAATATTTTTTTATACAAAAATAATATATATATATATATATATATATATATATATATATAAGAACTTTTTCCTTTTTATCCCTTACACTTATATATTTGAGGGTTTTTAAATATAACTTTATAGTTTTATGTATATTTGAAGTGTAATTTTATATTTTTAAAAAAATATGTTGTTTTGATTTAACTTATCTTTAAAAAAAAAAAAAAAAAAAATTTTTTCTAATGTACAATTTATTTTTAAATATTTTTTATTCTTTAATACTGTTTAAGTTATAACATTTTTAAATATAACTTGTCTTTGGAAGAGTATTTTTAAGTGGGGATTTGTAATTTTAAACTTAACCCTATCGAATTAAAAAAAAAAAACAAAAAAAAAAACTTTTCATCCCACTAAGTTTCAAATTAACACTTCATTCTTCATAGAACCCTAATTTAATATCATAAGGTAATCTCTTCCCTCTAAGGCTAGACAGCTTTCACAGTTAAATTTCTAATTCTGACACAAAAGGTTGAATAAGACTGATGAAGTTTTCATCAGTTGAAATAGGTCTAATCCCCATATTCGGTAATTTGGGAT